AGCTTATTCCGCTCATCTACCTTTGCCCATTTTTCACTTCCATGTAGTCATGGGGTACAGGTGCACACACGAGTGTGAGGAAAATTAAAATAGCAACAGGTCTAGAAAGGCATCATTTATACAAAGCCTATATAAGCTTTTGTTTCAAATTTAGTTAACTGGGAAGGCAAACTTGGGTCTGTTTTGGTCTAAAACTGTCTGGATCCCTGTTTTTTTTCCTATTTGCACAATTCATTTCTTTCCTCTCCATTGATTCAGTTAAGCGCATTGTATAAATACAGAATTGGATTGAATAAACAACTGTTAACCATAGGTGAGGATATTCTATCAAAGCCTCTAAATTAAAGACAGGCTGGATCTTGATACTGGTATTGGAAAGGAATGCTGAATAGACAGTCCTTTGGTCTGATTCAACTAGACTATTGGATGTTTTTAAATAATGTAATCTTATACATGTCTACTCAAGGCTCAGAAGGAAGTCTTACTTAATTCAATTGGACTTAATCCCAGATAATTGTGTATAAAATTACAGCCAGTCTTCTTAGTGTACTCGAATCCTTAATCATTCCAGAAGGCATTACTGAAAGTGTAATCGCCTGTCAAAACCTCAACACTTCTGACAAAACATATTTGTTTAAAAATAGTTACTAGGAAATGAAACTAGCCTATAGAAGAGATGATATGCAATTATTTGAAGTCATATTTAAATGTTGTAAGTAAAGGACAAATGCTTTTATAATATAGAAGAGATAGAGCAGGGCTGTCAAACTTGTGGCCCGCGGGCCGGATGCATCATTCACTGGCCACACCCATGCCTGGTTTAGCAAAGAAGGAAAAAGTTGTGATACATCACATGATGCTTCTATGACGTTTGACACCCCTGAGATAGACAATAATTGTACTTATTACTTATTAAGTTACTTTCCAAACTACAGGATTTATTGAACTATTTCCTGTCAATAACATTTAAAAGCCATTTTAAAATATCAAATTTATTTAATATAGTTTAAAAGATTTTTACGATGTTCTACTTTATTTGTTGGGAATTATTAAAATATAGAAAAACTATAAAAAATCTGAGCTGTAATTTAATCAGCCTTTTAAAAAATTCTAGTTCTAAGCTTATTTCATATTTTGCAAAGTTATTTCAGTTATTTCAATATATCTAATTCAATATCCTGCCCTTGGAGTGTTTTCCTTAATTCTGCAAACTTACCTGCAAATCAGCTGCACGTATATCAGACACTTTTTACATCAAGGAATTGTAACACTGATTGTGGGAATACAACATGTGTGATGTATCTGATTTCTTTAGAGATCTGCTTTACTGCTGAGCTGCTTTGAAGCCACATGGAGGGTATTTCACAATTACAAAGATTACGGGAGCTGATCTGTGTAACACCTGTGATGTGAGACTCAGCCTTTTCTTTAAAACCGCAAGTGTGTCAAAGGGATAGAATGTATTGTTGATGTAAAAATTATATCATTTTAATAATATAAGAATAGTAAACACTATAATTGATAAGGTCCAATCTGGGTTGGTCACCAGGACCAGAGGTTTAGTCTTCTGAGCTGTTGGACTCATGCTGGAGCCCATCCTCAGGGACTTTCTCTGAATACATTCTGGTAGAGAGAAGTTCCCTGAGGATGGGCTCTAGCAGCAGTCCGAAAGTTCAAAAGATTAAACCTCTGGTCCCGGTGACCAACCCAGATTGGGTCCTGCGACATTATCCTGGGAAATGTATATTTGCCTTTATTTGTTACTATGATTTATGTTACAAGGATCATAGGAAGTATATTTGTGACTATTAAAATTTTAATTTCTTTTATTTATTAAATGTTTATGACACCCAACTCCCCTATAAGGTGATATTGTTATTTCTATAATGTGTAAAGTAATTCAAGTTGGACAAGTGATGCAACGCTTTGATTTGTAATAATTAAAACAATTAGCAATTTGGGGCTCCAGATTTATTTGATGTAGCTACTTCAGGGATACATATTTTAAGTATAACAACATTTCATGTATTTCAACATTTCATTCTCCCATAAAAAATCTCTGGTTTTCTCCATCTACATATCCTCTTGAGATTATAATGTTAATCCTTCTACTTATAACAAAGATCTATTGTGGCTTGTTTTGTACCAGTAACTTTAAACCAGTTGCTCTGCAATGAGTTGCAACAGAATGACGCCTTAATAGGTGATTTGAAGTCATCAGCATCAATGATATAAATATTAAAATATTTGAGAGCACAAGTTGAGAAATTGTAAGAGTCACAAGTCATCAGTAGGAGTAATAATAATTCCATCCAATAACTAACTTGCCAGACCTTTCAATGGAGTTGTCCTATGTCAGGATAGATGGGTTTGTTTGTTATTGCAAGTTCAGGTATTTATCTACAAGACTATATTATTAAAATTCAAGATGACTTAATATGCTTCTTGCAAAGTCACTCTGGTAATTAAAATAGGTACTAAACTGATTAAATATATAAATAAATCTCTCATTTTAGCTTACAGGTACAAATTCTGGAAATACCATCAGGTGTATTAGAATCTTCTACTGATTAAATATCATCCTAAGCTTTTAGACAATTCCAAAGAATTTAGGGAGGAGAAACATGAGGAAATTAGAGGGGGAAAAACTTCATAAACTTGGAAAATAAGCAAATACAAGTATATTTCTTCTCAAACAATAATGTTAAAATTAACTTGCAGACATGTGTGGCATCCTCACAGTTAAATAGCAAAGTTGTACCTGCATCTGATTTTAAAGTTTGCACATGTCTGCAAGTTAACTTAGAAGGATATGTGGCTGCTTTGGTTAAGAAATAATGCAGCTAGATGAACAGAAAGAAATTTGAACTGAACAACAGTAGGGATTTCGCCATCCAGCCTATGGTTGGCCAATGTTTTGGCTTGTTGGGCTGAGCAAAGAGTAATTGTCTTGAACTGCATATAAACTATACAATATAGTTAATATATATAAATAAAAACATCCTTTTTAAAATAGTTTTTATTATTTTGTGGGGCTGTATTACTAACTCTCCATGGCTGTGTGTAGCCTGCAGACTCTGAGTTGAAATACCTGATCTAGTCTAATATTGCTTGTATGCTACTGGCTTTCCAAGGTTTTTTAGCAAGCCATAGTACAATCTTCTGGAAGTTAAAACAGTAAAAATGCCTTTGAACTTAATTCCTGATTACTATACAGTACATCCATACTGTTTTCTTAGAAATAGCACATAAGTCATTAGTCAACGTCATCGTCTCTTTTAAACTTCCCTGTCTGACCTACAACCCCAGTGGGCCCCTATCCAAGATTAACCAATCATTATTCCGACATAGTTTTGAACTAGTCAATAATGCATCATGTACTGAGATGCCTCCAGATAAAAATCCTTTCATCTTTTACCACTGACTATTCTACCTTGGATTGTATTGAAGAAATATTACCAATCCTTATATTACATAAGTAATTCAATGTTAAATTCAACCATTAAATATGGAATATTCATTCATGACCCGGACATACTACAGATTTTGCTTTTCTACTCTATAGTTGCTGAATTACCATTTTGTTTTACTCATGCTCTGCCAGCCCATAGTTACCAGGGACCTAGATTCCCAAAACCCATCGAACTAAAAAATGAGAACTAGATCTATCTGGGAATCATGAACCCAAAGAACATTAGGTGACCATCTGTTTATTATGTGTAGTCCTTGAGTTACAACTATTCATGACTGTTTGAAGTTACAATGGCATTGAAAAAAATGACTTATGACCGTTTTTCACATGACTGTTGCAGGATCCCCATGGTCATATGATCAAAATTCAGATGCTTGGCAAGTGGCCTGTATTTATGACAGTTGCGGTGTCCCGGGGTTGACTTTCAGATAGGCAAAATCAATAGGGAAGCCAGATTCACTTAACAAGTGTGTTACTAACTTAATGCCTGCGGTGATTCACTTAATTGCGGCAAGAAAGACTATAAAAAATGGAGCAAAAATTCACTTAATTGCTTAGCAATGGAAATTTTGGTCTCAATTGTGGGCATAAGTAAAGGATTGTCTACATGCAAACAGGCTGACCCTCACCCGGAGCTCCAGCTAAATAGCTTCCTCATCTTGTTTCGCTTAGGAAAATGAGGGAAACTCCCAATCTTTTGGATCTGGGATGGAAGCGATCCTAATTTCGCTGATCAACTTGAGTAACTATAGCCACCAACTGTAAATATTGGAAGGCTCCGTAAATGACATCACATTGAAGAGGGAAATTTCACCAGCCCCACAGCACAAGTCTACACTCAACACCTCTCGAGTGTCATAAACAAAAGTGACGTCTCTCTCGGGGCTCGAGAGGGAAACCTTGAAAAAAATAAGCCCGAAATCCGTGCAGTCTCCCACTGACCGAGCCCCCGGAGCCCAGGTGTTTCAAAGGCGAACTCGCGTCAGGCAGGCCCAGCAGCTTCGCCCCGCGGGTGTGGGTGTGCTGGGCTCAGTCCTCAGGACTCCGGGGTCTGACTGAGGAGTCTCGCCCCACTTCTAGGGCCAGACAGGGAAGCCTATGTGGGATTGCCCTGAGGGACTCTCTCTGCGCGTGGAAACCGGGGTTTTGCTCCTTGCAGCCTGGAGAGCGCCCTAAAGGCCGCCGCCGGCAGCAGCAACCTTCCCTTTTGCAACAGCCAATCCAGCCACCGCTCGCCGCCGAGTCAAAGCTGCTCTCTTGGCCTCTCGCTTTGTTGCCCTGGCCGGCTGAGCCTCAGGCAGGGGGCGGAAGGCAAGGCGGCTGCGTCTCTTCCTCCTCCTCCTCCTGGCGCTGCCCCCCGCTCATGGCGACATTGGGCACATCCGGGCTTTTCTTCCTTCGGCGGCCGCCGCCGCCGCCGCCGCCGCTAACGTCGCTGCTGCTGCTGCTGCTCTGAGCCGCGGCCGGCCCGACTCCATTAGCGGGTCCCGTCCCTCCCCGCCCCTGCTTGCCCGCCCGCCTTTCCTCCCTCCCTCCCTCTCTCTCCCCGCCGCGTCCCTGGCGGGGAGGGCCCGAGAACGGCTGCGCCGCATTCCCGGAGGATCCACGGTGTCATGTCCAACCAGGGCCCCCGGAGGAACGGGCCCGTCAAGCTGCGCCTGACAGGTGAGGAGAGCTCTGCGGGGCTGCCCGGCGCACACGTTTGCTGGGTCCACGGAGGGCGCCAGCCAGGCCTGCACGGGGGGGGGGGGGGAAGGAGGCGACCCGGGGGTCGGGAAGGGCGACGCGGCTGAAGGAGCCCCTCGACCTGGGAGCGGGTTTGGGGTGGGTGGGTGGGGGTTGAGAGGAAATGCGTGGGTCGGCGTGGCGAGGAAAGCGCGGCCCGGCTTTGTTTCAGTGGGAAGGGAGAGAGGGGGTCGCAGGGGAGGAAAGCTTTCTCGGGGGTACCTGGGCGGTGGTCGGCGCTGGTCGGCGAGGGCGTGGGAGGAGAGGGCCCGGTGCAGGGAAGGGAAAGTGGAGCTTGGAGAGAAGAGACGGGAAGAGCTCCGAGCCCGGGTGGATCGAGTTTGCTGAGCTGAAGCCAACAAGCTGCTTGGGTGCCTTTGAGATTGAACCTGGGTGGGGGTGGGGGGGTCCCGGATTCCCCTGAAAGCATCCAGGCTTTGGGAGGAAAGTAAACTCTTCACCGACACATTTCTGGGCAAAAGAAAAAAAGACGCGGCTGAGGGGCTGGAAAGGGAAGGACGGCGGAAAGGTTGGTGTGCCGTGGAAAAAAGAAAAAAGAAAAGAAAAGTGAAATCCTAGAGACGAAATAGTAGACGCCGCAAGGACTTGCAGGGCTGGTTATTCGGAAAGGTGGAAAACAATCCCGGTTTGAATCGCTGGCGTGAGCGGGACGGATTCTGCTTTTCCGCGGTTTTAATTCTTCCTCTGATTCCACTATTTGCAGGGTTTAGGGGGAATTAATTAAAGCCGGTAAACGGTTTATGCTGTATGAAATTAAATATTGCAACGCTTAGGGGATTAAGCCCACTTGAAGGTTCAGTGTAAATTCCAAAGTTTTTGAGCGTAAACTTGAATCGGTTTTCCGCCTCTTTGTACTCTTTGTTTTGATGTGCTCTGCTGCTCTCGTGAAGCAACCACCATAGGGGAAGGTTGTGTAAGGTTACCTGGGTATATACCTCCTTGCGATGTTGTATGGAATACAAGTGTAATTAGATTTTTCAGAACATTTGTAGCTTACATCAATATCTACCTGAAGTAGATGAGTCCTGTAATTTAAACATACAAACAAACCTTACCTTTTAATACTGCAGTTTACTTGTACTTTAAACAAAATACACTATGCATGTTTTAGTTGGAACTTGGTCTCAGTCAATTCTTTGTAAGATTGTTACTTAAGAGGGACAGAAGCATATACAAGAATATAAGCAAATTGTAGTTTTATTTACATTTTGATATTGTAGCAGGTTTTTAAATGCCAATATATATTTTCATATATTGAAACATTAAAATTTTAGGTTTTCATTTACAATATTGCATATGATTGCTGAAATAAATCTTACATGTATATCTTCTAATAAATCTACAACCCATGTTTTACTCAAAAAGTTAATTTCACTGTATTCAGTAGAGTTTATGACAATTGTATAGTGAGTATAGCCCCCAATGTAATATAATTCTATGTTGAAGTGCTTTATATTGTGCTATTGAGATTATGTTGTTTAACAAATTATGAGTTTGCATATAAAATTTTTTGTAATCCTTATGTAGTAAAGGTTTTTTGAATAAATGAAATGTTTTGTAATTCTGTGTTTGATATTACTAAACTATCATACTGTAGAACAAATCTATCTTTTAAGCTTTAAAAACCTGATGTGCAAAGGGGAAGATATTTTTAAGCAATTGTTTTTGTCTTCTGTATTTTTATTTTAGTTTCTAGGTTTTCTGTTACATACATACATACATACATATATATATGACATTGTTCATGATAATACCTTAATTAAGAGATTAAAGGGAAATCAGATTTTCATTTATTTCAAGAGCTCATTCAAAAGGCAAACATGGTAGTTAATTTAAAAGGTAAACTTTTAAAACTCAAATGTACTCCACTAGATCCTAAGAACCTTGAGTAAATAGTAGCAGTATTGTAATTTGGTTAACAAAGCAATTTTGTAATATTCTTTGAAAACAATAAGAAAGAATTGTCTATTCTTAGTAATCATATATCAACAAAATATTTGACACTGGAGAGGATACACCATTTGGCTAACTATCTAGTCTGCACATAATGTTTCTTTTTCCATAGTCTAGGGAATAATTAGTACTTAAGATGCTTTGGAACAAAATTTAAAGAAAAATAATGCTATAATCATAATATTTATTTAGAAGTAAGAAACATAGAACTTCGGGGCTTCTGAATAAAATATATACAGCTGTGGACTGTTGAGTTTTTAAGGTTTTGTAGAATGCCTCAATTCCATGCCTCCTATAGTTTGATTTCTCATCCTGATTAAAAATTTACTTCCAATAATTTTTGATGCTAAAATTATGCAGGTTTTAAATATCTGAAACTACAAATTTAACTGAAACTGTTTGAATAGCTATGTGCTAGTTTGCTGATTTCTTTGTGCTATATATATTTAGATTTCATAAACTTTGGAACCTCTTGTCTAGATTAATTATATAACAAACATGTAATATGTATTTCAAATTTATTATCTCGGAGTGTGATGATACAGTCTGAAAAATAGTTTGGAAAAACTGGATTCAATTAGCTGTTTTCAGGATGTAAACATTTAAGGTTCTAGCTAGAAACATTGTTCTGACTGGCTTGATAAATTACAGGATAATGTTTGATGTGAGTCCAAGAATTGATTTGGACCCAATGCCCAACTACTTTGTTCATTTTGAGCAGCCAAATAAAATATTTAGCCTAGGCCTGATTTAGAAGAAAAGTTTGATTCTTTGTGAGACTTTAAGAATGCTTGAGGAATGTTTGGCATACCTTTGCTGTAAGTGTTATGTAGGTCTTTCTATAATCATTACAAAGACCTAATTTTTTAGAATATCTTTTCATAGTTCTTTTTCATATTAATTTTGTACAGTTGTCATTTGAATCATTTGTGATAATTTTTCTCAGTTATCAGCAATATATGGATATATTATTTGTCAGACATCCTGTCTCAAACTATTTCTGCTCACTCTACCAGAACCAACATGGTGGCCATGTTCTGGGTCCCTTCTATTAAGCAGCGCCATCTTGTGGGTCCTAGGTGTTAAGCCTTCTTTGTTGCAGCACCTGTCCTGTGGAACAGCATCCTCCCAGAGATCCAGATGGCCCCTGACCCTCATGGCCTTTTCTAACTCAGTAAACACCTGGTTGTTCTTTCAGCGTTTCAGCCAGCTTGTTAGGTGACCTTGTTGCTTGGTTTATTTATGGCTTTTAAAAAAACCTCTGATTGTAAGACACAATGATCCTTTTGGATCGCTGACATGTGATATATTGGTTGATTATAGTTGTAATTTGTTTTTAATTAATTGAGGGTTTTTATTTTTATTTTTTGTCACCTAGAGCCAAAGTTGTTAAATGGGTAGCCATATGAATTGTTTAAACAAACAAATACGGACACATATTAGGATAAAAAGTAGTTTCTTCCTTCAACTTTTCTACCAATGATCGTAGTATTAAAATAGGTTTGTTTGTTTGTTTGTTTGTTTGTTTATTTATTTATTTATAGGGTTTGTATGCCGCCCACTCTCGAGAGACTCAGGGCGGCTTACAGATAAAAGGAAGGGGGAAACATACAAAAAATTAAAAAAAAAACATTAAAATTCCACAACATTCATAGCTTAGAATGGGGCTGGATAAATCAACAGCCCCAGGCCTGCCGGAACAGCCAGGTCTTGGTCGCTTTGCAGAAGGCCGGAAGGGTAGTAAGGGTCCGGATCTCCACGGGAAGATCGTTCCATAGGGCCGGAGCAGCTACAGAGAAGGCCCTCCCCCAGGGAGTCGGATTACTAATGTCATTTGTCTTCTATAAATTAAAGTTGGAAAAGAATTGGATTTTTTGAAGTGTTTATTTTGGATTTCCTTCATTTCTTGTTTCTTAATAAGGGAAAAGGCCAACTTTATTTTATTTTATTTTTCAAATATAACTTTGTTCTACTTTCTGTACTGAGTCACAGCTGAGAAATCATTTTTTAGGAATTACAGGTGATTAGTTTTTAGAGTCATTAATCAAAATGCATTATGCACTATTCAGATTCTCACCCTTAACAGAGTCTCACTGAAAAGAAAAACATTAAAAGCAATAATTTTAAGTAGAAATAGCTATGGAAAATATCTATACCTGAACCATAGAATTTCATGAATGAGGCAAATAACTATTTCATAAAAGCTTTATCTGCATTTTAAAAACATTTAGTAGTACACTAGATGGCTAAATTAAAAGAAAATCCAGGAAGAAAACTGTGTCAAACTATTTCTGCATAATTGCCAAGAAAGCAACATATAGGATTTGAGACTGACTCAATAGAGACTTTATTTTTAATGAATTTCAGATAGTTTTTCATGTATCAGTCATGAAAATTCCACAGAATGACACATCAAATAAACTTTAAGGAAGATACTTAACACACTATTTGCATAATAATTTGAATGAAAGATTGTTCTATCAATCTAATGCTGTAGTTTAAATGCTTTGGATCAGAGTATGTATATTGCTATTGAATTTATGGATTCACAAAGATGCTGAATCCTAATTATAATAAGGAAGTACCTGTAATACCATAAAACTTAATAAATGCAGTATATAAGAGGAGCATAACAATTGTTTTGTAGTCATTAAGTCATTAAGATAATGATGAAGTATGGAAATTATATTAGTCTCCTCTCTTGTTTAAGGACATGTTTTTTGAGGAAAAAAAATCAAACAGAAGCTGGTGGCCACATCATAAGCACTTGTGTGCCGTTCTGGTTTTTATCTTGTATTGATACACATGAACTAGCATGAACCAAATGACTGAGAAAGAATTTCTAGAATTATCTGGAAAATGAGTTGGATATACACCAAAACAAAACAAAGCACTCAAAATTTAAAAATATATCACTGTCTCTTGGAAACTGCTCTCAAATTCTTCTTGGTTATGCTTCTTGAAAA